AGCCGACTGGGGCCACAGGCAGAGGGACCACAACCCAATGACTAGGGCTCTCGGGCTAAAAAGCCGGGCCCAATCCCTCCCACTTGGAGGAGCTGCAACCAAAACAAGCGAATGGGGAGGGAAGGGTGGGTTCTTTCTCTAGGGAACTGCCTTTCTGTCTACTTGGAGACTACAGGAACCAAGAACAGAGAGAAGGAAAGAAGCTAAATATGGAGCAAAGAGTAATGGGGGGCGGGGGGAGTCAAGGGGATTCCTGCCTTTCAGCCTTGAATGAAGTAGAAAGGAATCAATATAGTTTGCTTTGTAGAGATCTTAACTAATTTCCTGTAAAGTTTTCCAAAATATCTCTTTCACATAAGACTAATAATGATGTGCCAGCTCTAGGTCATGCTAAAATCCTCCGAATGCCTCTCTTCTGTATTATTCCTTCTCCGCTGTCACCATCAACCCTCCCCCCACCCTACCTTTCAAAAATAACCCAGCATCTGGACAATTTTCTATAAAAGAGAAACTCCTTTACTCATAGTTCTAACTCAAAATGCAGATGGAGTCTCTTCAAGGTTTCCATGAAAAGAAAAAAAAAAGCCCCTGTGGACAAAGACCAAACACTAGAAAACCTCAACCCCAAAGGTCATTTTTCTCCAAAGTTATGGGCACTTGAATACAGATGAGAAGGCAAACAGTCGGCAGGGCTGCGGCAGAGCAGTCAGAAAAAGGCTACCCAGGAGCCTGATGGATGGCCAGAGAGAACCCGGGGAGGAAGGGTAGGCAGCAGCAGGACGGCAGCTCCCCAGATGCAGAGAGCTTGGCTGCCCCCTCCCTCCCTGGCCATCCAGACAGCTGAGGTTACTTCCTCCTCCCCTCGTGCTGTGGCCTATACCTCATTTTCCTCACTTACATTTGCTTTGGTCTCTTTTGAACACTGAGGTGGTGAAAGAACTTGCCCCAAGGTTAAAGATGCACAATTAAAGATCCCACCAAAGCTTTCAGGCTGCTCTCTGGGCCTCAGGGTCAAAACAACCATCATTCGATGCACATCCACACCAAAATGAGCAACGTGAACTCCTGCAAGCGAGGACAAAGGAGCCACGATTCTCCTAAATCAGATAAAAATCTACTTCTATATCAGGAAACAATTTCTAAAACAAGAAAGGAACCACATTCCTAAAATTTAGAACCTCTAAAACATTTTAAACCATCTAAATTAATGTTTAAGTGAAAAAATGTTTTCAAATGAAAAAAAGTCAGCTATTCAACCAATACATATCATGTTAGTCTGAATCGAAACATGTAAAACTAATAAAATGAGTGCAAAAACCAGAACGAGAAAGCCTATTACTGTCAAACCGACCACTCCAGTTTCACCTAGCTGAACAAAGTACAAAAATAAACAGCAAAAATGATGACAAATGGAAAATACCATGTTTATAACCAATATTGTTACTCACCCAAGTACAACAGAGCTTACACCTGGTTAGTTTTTCATTCCTTTAGGACAGTCCCAAGAAGCTGACTCAGGGACTTCTGAAATCCTGAGACACAAGAGAAGTGAGCCTCCAAAAAGGCCCTGGCCCAAAACTGTTTCTGCCTCCTATACACTCAAGGGGCATGAAACATTCTCATAAGAACCAGAAGTGTACCATGTAGAGGTCTTGGGTATTGAAAGTTCCTGGGAGCTGGTCAGGAGAGCTGGGGTGGTTCTCATTCGCAACCCCAACCCCACCCCCAGGACACATGTAGACCTTACTCATGAAGAATCTCATTCCAGTGGACAGCCATCCCAAAAAAGTACGAGGGAATGCTGATCTAACTTGCACACCTTATTCTAGTCCTTTTGCTATCTCTTCTGGAAGTTCCCTCTCATGACAAATCTCAACCTTTCCCGCTTCCATTTAAATTCATTTCTTTTTTTTGTCCTTATGGAAAAGAAGAATGAATTATTATCATACTCACTGGAACAACTACTCCCCACATGATGAATTTATTTAGTCTGGACAAGAAATTGTCACCAAAACTATATTCAATTTCTTTTCTTCCTTACTAAGTCCATTTTTGTGCCTCTAATGGTTTTTTTTCTTCTTATCCTGTGCTTTTCCAATTTTTCCACTTCCCTTGTTGACCAGAAGACCTAAAAAGCACAGGGGCTCTAATGAGAGCCTGATCTATAATGACCTAAATGGAAGAATGCTATCCTAACTTGAACCGATATCTCCAATCCATCTTTCAAGCTTCCTCTGAATCCTCTCCTCCAAGAAAAGGGGAGACTTTACGTTGCCACTAACAACAAGTCTCAAGCTGCCCACCCCTTTCCTGAAGGTGGGCCGATGGGTAGTCCAACACAGATGTCTGGCCCCAAACTCACCTTCCCACCTGTTGATCACAGCATTGCAGAGGTTTAATGAAGTCGAGATGCATTACATTTATCACTCGCCCTAGATCCATTCAAATCCATCACTATGTCACAACAAGAAGTTAGATTGATCTGACAGGATTTGCTCTTCTTCACAAACCCATGTAAGTTATTACTCAGAACCCCATGCTCTTCTAGCTGTTTGCTGATTGATTATCTGACGATCAGGTCAAGTATCTTCTCTAGAATCACAGTAAACTAACGGGTCTATAATTTCCAAGATCATTCATATCCTCCTTTTAAAGATAAGCAAGACAGCAAATGCTTCTTCCCGAGTTCTCTAAAGCAACAGCTAATGCTTTGCTAATAATGAACCAAGGCAGCCAATTCCTTAAGTGCCCTTGGAATCACATCATCAGGGTTCATTGATTCTGGAGATAATCTATAATCAGGCCCAGATCCTGGCAAACAGCCTGAAATCCTAACTCAGCCTGGGTCTGGAAGGCCTTTGTGCCTAAGTCTGGGAAGAAAGTTGGTGATACAAGTGATTTTAATTGGTACTGCTTATGTCTTCAGCACTGTGATAAATAAATACATAAATAAAAACAATGCCCTTGAGAGAGAGATGAAAGGTGACACTGTCAGACCAAACTGAGACACAAATCAGGCTTCACCTTCAGGAACATTGGCAGTACCCTCTGCAGGACGAGAAAACAGAGCTACATAATTATCTGAGCTTATACTCTAACTGAAAAGGTAAGAAACACACATACACAAGCATATACCAGGAGAGAAAAAGCAGTAAATGCCATAATGGAGGTGCCAAGCAATCATGAGGATTCAGAAGAGGGATGAATCATATGCAATAGAAATATGTTAGATTTTAGTCTCATGTCCCACTTGGGCTTAGTCAGTGACTGAAATCTACATCAGTAGGGAAATAATATGGTATATTAGGATATGGGTCTCTGATTCCCAACCCAGAAAAAATCTACATAACCAAAATTCCCAACCACCACTCAGGCACCCCCACCATGCCAGAGAAACTCCCGTAGTTTGGGGAGGCAGAGAAGACTCTACAGTACGGGCAAGAATAAGAGGCAGAGAAAGTAAGTGTGGCGTGGATAGCTCCCAAGCTGCACCCCCCATTCATCCAAAGTTCCTTCCCTTAGGACATTCTCTTTACCCAGCTCCAGTCTTCCCAGGCCTTAGTAGGCCTTATTGCAATGCCCCAAAGGCAGACCACTGCTTTAAGGGAGAATAGGAAAAAGAAGAGGAAAAAGGGGAAACTAAAGAAGTTGTGGAGTCTTTATGTAAAATAATCTACCATTCTAAAGACACACCCTTTCCTGAAAAAAAAACCAACCATGAGAAATGAACCCAGTTTATCTCAGAATGGACCCAACTCATTCCCACCTCCCAACTGCTCTATGCTGAGGTCTTGTCTTCCCTCCTGCTTAATATCGAATGCTGCTCCCAGAGCAACAAGTCTATGCATCATAAAATTTCACACTCTGTAACCTAGCCCTGAGGGGAGAGTTACAGTCCTAGAGCCGGGCATCCCTGAGGCATCAGCACTACAGTGAACTGCCACAGCAGCCCCGAACCCGTTCCCTTAAAGCAAACATTAAGCACTTCGATATCACCTAGCATAGGTGCCTCTCCGCTGCTAATTCCAGCTTCCTAGGTAAAAGGTCTCTGAACACAGCTGGTGATTGAGGAAAAAAAGCAAGCAAACAAATTGTCCTTTCCAACAGACCAACAATGGTACTTCTTCAAGTTATCTAATACGGCATAACAAACCATCCCAAAACTTGTGGTTTAAAACATCAATAATCATTTGTTATTTCTCACAGTTCTTGTGAGTCAGGCATTTGGGAGTGGCTTGGCTGGCTGGTCTGGGTGAGGGTCTCTCCTCAGGTTGAAGTCAGATGTCCACCGGGGCTGCAGTCATCTGAAGGCCTAACTGGGGCTCATGGATTCACTTCCAAGATAGCTCATTCAGATGACTGGCAAGTTCGTACTGGATTTTGGCTTTTGGCTAAGAGCCTCAGTTCCTCAGACACACGTGCCTCTCCACAGGACTGCTTGAGAGCCCTTGCAGCATGGCAGCTGGCTTCCGCCAGAGCAAGTGATCCCAAAAGAGCAAGGCAGACTACAATACTTTTTTATAACTTAGCCTTAGAAGTCACACATTGCCTTTTCCACTATATTCCATTAGTTACACAGAGCTATGTCTCAGTCAGTGTGGGAAGGGAACTACAAGCATGTGAATACCAGGAGGTAAGGATCACTGAGGTCATCTCAGAGGCCAGCTACCACAGTACTCCTTAAAAGAACAAGTAGCAGTGACAGGATAAGGGAGGAGGGAAGAGAATGGAGAGAGAAAGGATAGGAGAGAAGAAAATATTTTGATTCCCAAAAGCTGAGACCAGAGAGAAACCATGTGCCCCATTCTCCCCAGAGACTTCTTAGGTCTACCTCACCCTAGCAAACCTGAACCAAGTCCTGCTTCCTAGGCAGGAACTCCAAATGAGTAGCTAAAAGCCAAGACAATGTGATAAAGCTCCTTTGGGTCCCAGGAAGCAAGACTATCCTCCCTCCCTCCTTGCCCACCCCACCTTTGCTAAAGCAATGATGCAACAGTTACCTGAGGATGAATCTGTGGCTTGTCGCACGTGGCCTCAAAGTCGAGCACTAAAAAGTAGTGATACCTCTGGGGAGGGAAGGACACCATTGCCGCCATGGATGCGCCAAAGCCGTGGGCCGCCAGCTTTCTGGTGGATATGGAGCAGAACTCCGGAACACCACAGGGAGAAAATAAGTGGGAGCCCAGCACTTTTCTTGCTCTTGAAAGTAAATACGAAGAAAATCGAGCTGCTCCAGTCTGTAAAGGTGCTAGCATTGAACATCCAGAAGCATCTAAAACTTAGGGGAGGAAAGTTAAAAAAAAAAAAAAAAGAACAGAGAGCCTGGGTTACTCCCCTCCCGCTGTGGTCCTGTTCCATCTAGTCTTCAGGAATATCCACACAACATGAGCCACTCCCCAGTGTTTCTAGGCCCCTTTTCTAAATCACAGCACTCATTACTAAAGTTCAAGACCCTAATACCAGCACCTGCAGCATTATTACAGCTCTGAGTCTCCCAGATCTTTCTCAAAACAACATGCAACACCGGCCTTCATCTTAAAGATCAAAAGAGAAAAGAGAGAAAAATTTTGCGGTCACTTCTCAGGTGGCAACAGTTAACATTAAAGCTTTGGGTCCCAAAGTAACATGAGGTGACCCTGTTGCACAATCAGTCCTAGGAGCTAAGTAGACGCAGAAACACAGCAGAAAATGTCCCAGGCTCTCTCCTCAGCTCCATTAGGAGCCATTTGCCCCTGGCTTTCCTGTCTGATTCTTGACATCTCCACATACCCTCCTCCCTTCTCCCAAGGTGAAAGCAAACAAAGCCAATCACAGGGGAGTTTGCTCGAGACATTCCGGTGGTTCCCAGCCCCCACACTGGTAAGTGGCACCCTGGGGGAATGAACACCGCCTGGAGAGCACAGCTGGCAACAGCCTTAGGCCTTCTCATTTTCTGCCTTTAGACTCATTCTCTACTAGAGGCCTTTGAATGACTGCAGGACTTTTTAAATAGGGAAGAAAAAGAAAACCCAGATGTGGCAGTAATGGGAGCAATGCTAAAAGTCTAGTAAAGTTTTCTGAGTGAACATGTGCAAAAAAAAAAAAAAAATTGAATCACTTTTCCTTTAAGTTTTCCCTTTAAATTTGCAGAATGCTTGCTCCTCAGAAGGCTAACTAAATATAAAAATCAAAGCCTATAGTTTTACTCACAAATAACTCAAGCTTCCTTAAAAAAAAATATAAGAACAAAGCAGAAATTTTGTCTTTCCCCCTGTTATACCCAACATTCAAATTTCCCTCAACTTTAATCCTCAAGTAAAGAAACCTCACCACTCAATACAGAAATGGCCACCGTTTATGCTTTCTGAAGCCCCATTCCAACAAAAGCTTGCCTCTGAATGGCTGCGAGGGGACGCCTGGCTCCCTCCACGTAGGGCAGAGGGATATCACCCTGTGAAGTCCAGAGCATACTCTAAGGCAACAAGGCCACTACGACCAGAGAGGAAAAGGACAACGCCAAGTATTACTTTTCTTTCAACCTCTCTCCTGACTCACCAAATGAGCTACAATAACTTGCCTGCATATTAGGATATATGCCAGTGTAGGTCCTCAAGCTTCCTGTCCCTATAGTGAGTTGCAGGGAGATTCAGTGGAGCTAAGACTAAAAAATATCTCAAGGTCTTCATGGATCCTGCACAAGCATAGCACTTGTTTTCACCATTGCTTTATAGCCTCACCAAAATGCAACCAAAACTTCTCCAGATGGCTTGGGTTTCACTACAGAATCCCTTAGAAAGGCAAGAAGCCAATATCTCTTTGAAAGGCAGAGCCAAAATAATTCTTTATATCACCCACTCCTGAATAGTACTGGAAGTCTCATTGAGATGGGAGACACCAGTCTGCTCAAATCACCCATTCTAGTTTGGATCCAAAGTCCCTTAAGGCCTTAGAACTCCTCTAACTCCATGAAGTCAGGCCATGCATAAAGACTTTTAAGTCTTAAAGTTCTCCAATGTGTATACGGTATGCACAGTATACACAGTCAACCAGACCATGTTTGCCAAATACTACAGGCAATTAAGCATCATGATTAAGGAGGGCTTCCAGGTTTCAATCCTGGCTTTGCCACTGATTAGCCGTGGCATCTTGGGCAAGCTCTGTTCTTTAATTCCTCACCTATAAAATGACACTAATAATATCACCTACTCCATTATTGAGAATAAAATGAGACAACACATATAAAGCACTAAGAGCAGTGTCTGGCACATAAGAGCACCATAAATATCAGCCTACTATTATTACTACTACTATCATACTGGGCTTTGCCCACTTGGTCAAGCCTGGATTCCCATTCTCTGGGCCTGTAAATCCAATTAGTGCATAAGGCAGCCTTAGAGAGTAACACTGATGTCTCCTCCATCTCTAAAACACTCTAGACGTTCCATAGAAAATACCCTATTCCCTCCCATGGACAACACACTGATGGCCAATGGTTCTCTTGCCCGTAGGCCTTGCATTCTCACCTGATTTCACCCACATCAAAAAGTTTCTCTTGTACGAAGTCTCGAGAGTTAACATTAGGAGGCCAGGCCGCCACATGTCCACAGTCACTGGATTCCATACTTCCCTTACTTCTAACAACCAAGTTCAACTCAAGCAAGAAATAGAGTAGCTCCTCCTCTTCCCTTCCTGAAAAATTCAACCCTAAAGCCATTAAGTGCAGCAGAGGAAGGCAGGTATCTACACCAGTTGGAGTGAGGTGAGCCGGAGGGGTCTGGGAGGAGTGCCAGAGCCCAGGCAGGGTGAGGGTATTCACAAGGAGTGGGGAAGGTATGGTGTAGCATGTTGAAGCCAAGTGGGGGTGTGGACAGCATCCATGTCGGAGGCAGTCTGATGTGGGGAGTCATAGGCAGGGTAAAAGAGGTATTCATGAGGGGTAAAGGGCAGTGACAGCAATGGGAGATTAGTTACATTCAGAGGGATTGATCAAAGAAGTGCATATATTAAGGATAATGGGAACCAGGTTTCTCACTGTTAGAGAAAGAAGTTAAAATATGAGGCCGGGCGCGGTGGCTCACGCCTGTAATCCTAGCACTCTGGGAGGCCGAGGCGGGTGGATCGCTCAAGGTCAGGAGTTCGAGACCAGCCTGAGCAAGAGCGAGACCCTGTCTCTACTAAAAAAATAGAAAGAAATGATCTGGACAACTAAAAATATATATAAAAAATTAGCCGGGCATGGTGGCACATGCCTGTAGTCCCAGCTACTTGGGAGGCTGAGGCAGAAAGATCACTTGAGCCCAGGAGTTTGAGGTTGCTATGAGCTAGGCTGACGCCACGGCAGTCTGGCCCGGCCAACAGAGCAAGACTCTGTCTCAAAAAAAAAAAAAAAAAAAGTGTCTGTAAGCCCAAATAGTTCCTCTCTATCTAGCCCAGTCTCCACCAGACGAGTGCCCACTCAGTGCCCCTCACTGGCACTCCTGCCACCACAGGGCCTTCTGATGAAACACTCCTGTAACCCCCGCAGCAGCAGCCCACCTGCCCTGTTCCCCCTGGCATCTTAGGGATTTCTCTTTTCTATTGATGTTTTTACACTTTAGTCACAGGTTTGTAGAATATAAGTCTATAGCTTAAAACATCAAATAGGACCAGAATTCAAAAGAAACAGTTTATGATTCTGTGTATTACTGCAAACTATCTTTCATCTGAGATCAAGATTTACACACATTTATTCTCAGACATCCTTTTCCTTCTCCTAGCAAATTAAAGGTACTAAGCAGCCTGTGGCAAGGAGGATAATGAATGATTCTCTCCTCAAAATGTAGGGACCAGCCCCCCAATGGGGACAGGGGAGGGATAAATAGGGATTGCCATGGGGCCAGCCCAATTTGGAGAAACAGGCCTTAGCCACAGCCCCTGGAGGACGGTCTCTGTGCAGAGTATTTACACAACAGACACCAATGGCTCCTCTGCAGCCATTACTGTCTATCAGGTAAATAACACATGTGCCAAAACACACATTTAATGAGGGAAATAATATGCCTTTATAAAAAGACTCAATCTGTATTTACCTGAGAGACCAAAGAAGCACCAAATCACCAGATTAGTGGAACCACAGAGGAGTCGTTCTGGTGTCTTGGGTAAATAGACATTTTATAGCCTCCATTACTGGAGGGGGAAAGGGAGAGCGGAGGAAGGGGGTTATCTTTTAACTTCCACATACACAAGCTAGGGGAGCCTCAGCGAAAAGAAGAGGGCCCATACGAAACAGGTGGTCTACTCCCACTCCACCTCCCAGCCACATATGCGTGGACTCTCTAGGAGGGTATGGGTATGAACCATCCCTGGATTCAATCCATTCCATTAAAAGGCAGACTGGGAGGTAAGGGAACATTCCCCAGAAACTCCAAGGTACCAGAAGCAGGTTCTGAGTCCAGCTGACTGGAAGCACCTGGGACCACTACAGCCATAGTTTCCTTAGTCCCCAGTCCGTAAGCAAGTCCCTGTCCCAATCTAACCTGTAGTATCACAAGTGTTCAGCCACCTGAGTCACAGAAACAACGACAAAGAACATGGTAACACCTATCTGGAACTTACTCAGTCACAGGCTTTGTCTCAGGCAGCTAAAAATAGCCTGGGAAAAATATAAATAAACTGCAAGCCTTCAAAAGTCACAATCTGCACTCTAATGAATGCATCCTTACTGCCAGAGCACCTTCTGTGAAAATCACACACTGTCAAAGGTGAAAGAAAATCTAAGAGGTAACAGTCTAACCAGCCAGGGAAAACAAGGCCCTAAAAGAGAAAAGGACTGCCCAAGGTTCACATAACAAGAAAGACAAAGGATAGAACACAGGGCTCCTGATGCTTAGGCCAGGGTCTCAGGCCCCTGTGCCAACAACAAGGAACAGGCCTCACTGCTCATCCCCCAAGCTTCTGCACAGTCTCACAGGAGAAGCCAGGGGTCTGAGGGCTTTGTCTAGTCTGCTGAAGGCTGGACATACCCTGGAACCTCTACATGACTTTCTGAAAGCCCCAAAGTGGAAAGGAAGCAGGGACGCTAAAACTGGCTCCTCATCTCAACAAAAATCTCCTCTCTACAACCAGTAACTGCCATGGCTTATAGCGACAGCTGCTTCTGCTCCAAGGCAGGGCTGGGGAGAGCTCCCCCAACTCAGAAGCAGCTGCTAATCCCAAACTGCTGGCAGAGCTAAAGTCACTAAAGGCCTTCAGGAACATTGAATTCTGAGGGCAACATCACAGGACACAGCAGGTTCGCTCTCCCCTTCAATAGGCCTGTCT